ATTAGCAAAGATATTGGTAGGAATTGCGGGAAAGGACGTGGAATACATGGTAAATAAGTAAGGCGAGATGCACAGTGCAAAAAAAAAATTTTTTGCTTTGTTTTTTTTTTTTTTGAAAAAAAAACGTTTTTTTTTGCACTGTGCAGTAAAAAAAATCCACGAAAGATTGTTTATGATTTATCGCACTGTAAAAAAATCATACTTTTTACTGCACTGTGCGCACAAGAAAGGCAAAAAATCGAGCGCACTGTGCGAAAAAATATGTTTTTTGTTGCACCGTGCAAGAAGAAAAAAATCACAAAATGCACAGTGCAAGAAAAAAAATTTTTTTTGCTTTGTTTTTTTTTGAAAAAAAACGTTTTTTTTTGCACTGTGCAGTAAGAAAAAATCCATGAAAAATTGTTTATGATTTATCGCACTGTAAAAAAATCATACTTTTTACTGCACTGTGCGCACAAGAAAGGCAAAAAAAAACACTGTGCAAAAAAATATGTTTTTTGTTGCACCGTGCAAGAAGAAAAAAATCACAAAATGCACAGTGCGGAATAAAAAGAAACATTTTTGCACAGTGCGGTAAAAAAGAAAAGTCGACTGCACCGTGCAGTGAGTCAAAAAAAGGCCAAAAAATCGCATAGTGCATAAAAAATCATCTATGATTTACCACACGGTAAAAAAATCTATTTTCTGCACTGTGCGTCCAGAGAAAAGCAAAAAATTGAGCGCACTGTGCGAAGAAAAAATTTTTTTGTGTTGCAGTGTGCGAGTAGAAAGCATTCTCAAAATGCACAGGGCGGAATGAAAAAAAACAATTTTTTGCATTTTATTGCACCGTGCTTCTAGAGAAAAGCAAAAAATTGAGCGCACTGTGCGAAGAAAAAAATTTTTTGTATTGCACTGTGAAAACAGAAAAAAATGTAAAAATGCACAGTGCAGAATAAAAAACAGTTTCTTTTGCACTGTGCGTTGAGCAAATGATGTCAATAACGGTTGCACAGGGCAAAAATTTTTTTTTTATTTTTTTTTTGTTTTTATTTTTTATTTTTTGACCGCACATTGCAGTATAAAAATTATTTTTGGTTGATTGCACAACAAAAAAATCAAATTTGACTGCACTGTGCATCCAGAAGAAAAGCAAAAAATCGATTGCACGGTGCAAAACAAAAAAATATTTATATCGCACAGTGCACTGCAGTGCAAACAAAATTTCTCGAACTGCACAGTGCAGAAGAAATAATAAATTTTTTGCACAGTGCATTGGGAAAAAATAAAAAAAATGTATAAATAGAACGATGCAGCACTTCTTATAATCACTGGAATTAGCTTTAAGGCGCACACGAAATAAATAATTATTTCCCGTAAAAAAATGTTATTTACCCGGAAAATCTCGACTAAAAAATTGCATAGGAAGAGAGGGAAATGTTCGAAAACAGGGAGCGAGAATCTCGACAAATTCGAAAATTAATTGAAATTAAACGAAGAGGAACGCAAAAAAACTACTTAAATTTGTTTAAATTGTATCATTTTACAAGCGAAATTGTAGAATAACCATTAAAAGTGAATGTAATCTAAGTACAAGTTGGTTGTTAAACATGCACTTTGGAGGTTCTATAATGACTTTGAGGGAAGAAATGGGATTAAAAAGTAAGAACAAAGAAAAATAATTGAAAATGACGAATGTTTGGGGTTTAATAATCAAATTATGACGATTCAGGTAATGTAATCTTGTTTGGAATACGGGGAATTGGCTAGAAGGTCAATAATAAATAAAAAAATCCGAATTGTTGGTTAAAAAATTTGAAAAACGCAACCGCACTGTGCAGAAATTAATTTAGGAAAATTTCCTGAAATTTCTCTTTTAAAACGAATAATTTTGGCCCAAAAATCACAGAAAATATTCATAATAAGTCCTATTTCATCGTTCAAAAAAACCCACAGTTGCACTGTGCAAAAATTAACAATTAAAAATTTCGCACAGTGCGGAGCCATTTTTAGTCTAAAATTTACTCCGCACCGTGCAAAAACCAAATTCTACCAAAATCTAAAAAAAAACTCTCAAATTTTTTTCGACAAAACTCTCCAGTAAAATTAGATTGTTTTGACTATTTCTGCCCATTAAAGAAGCCCTTTTTTGTTAGATTTTATCCAAGGGATTCCAAATTCGATTATCCAGAAACAAAACATTTCGCCTTTTTTCGTTTCAAACCGAATGCTTGTATTCGTTGTATTATTCCGTTTTCAAAGTCGATATAGTGATTTTTGCGACAGGCACTGTGAAAAAACAAAAGTTCTACCTGCACTGTGCAATTTCTTGCTTTTTGCACCGTGCAATAGGCTTTATTTGGGCTGTCGCTCCCCGAGTTTTTTTGCACAGTGCATGTCGCCGAAATCACGAGAGTTATTCTTTTCGCGCGCCCAAAATTCGCGCCGGCTTTGTTGAGAAAAGTTTGCGTGGCTGCGATATTGCACTTGCACGGTGAAGTCTGGTCAAATGCACGCCGCAAAAAGGGGTTTTGTCGGTGCGGCCCACAACAAAAGTCTACGAACCTTCTGGAACGACTAGTAATACAGTGAGGGACCTGATCCAGTGGCAAAAAACGTACCATTTTGCATCCGGAGAAGCGAAAGTATCAAAAATGTGGCAAAATGCTTCCCTCTCCAAGTTAAAAAACCTCGTTTTGAAGGGCGCGCCCTTTACCTCACAAAAAGAGCGGGTGCGCTTTTCAAATTGGAGTTTTTTCACTTGGAGAGGGAAGCATTTTGCCACATTTTTGATACTTCCCGGATGGAAAACGGTATATTTTTTGCCACTGGATCATGTCCCCCACTGTAGGAGGATTCCGTTGTAAAAAAGTTTATTTTTGGCATAAAATCGACTCTTGGGTACTCAAAAATTTTTTACTACGGACTGATTTTATTGTACAGAAATCTGTAGTTCTCTAAAAATAATTTTTTAGCCAAGTCCACAAAAAAATTAAATGTCATCCATAATGTAAAATTGGACCGAAAACAATAATACTATATACGATTACACAACCTCCCCCCTCCATTATCGGATTACATTACGACCGGGAAACCAAAAAAAAATGTCTGTGAAATACGAAATTTCTTTTGGTAAACATAATGAATCAGTCCTTTTCGTTACTAATAACCCATTACCAACAACTTTTCGAACGTTATCTCAATTTTTTAATCCCTATAAAACCCAACAAAAAGATATTTTTTGCTGAAAAAAGGCAAGAATAAATAAAGTCATAAGGATCGCAAAGACAAACAAAACAGTAAACGTGCGATATAGTGTGATATCGGAGGGGAAACTGAGTCATCTTGTTGAATATTTCATAGAAGGCGCTAAATTCCTCCCTTCGAATTTTGTCTCGAATTTCAAAGGTTTTGTGGACGGAAAAGGACGGAAATAAAGTAAAGTAAATACTGTCAAAACGCTGTATCAGTTTGTCGGAAAAATACTGAACACAATGTTGCATGGAAAATCGCATCGCCTCCAAGAAAATGACTTGTGACACGGCAAAATAAAATTGATTTTCACTTCAGCGACGCGATTGGTGCAGCGACAGAGTGCTCATTATTTTCCCGACAGACTAATACAACAAATCGCAAAGGACCAAAAAAATTTTTTATATATAGAAGAGTGTCATTATACGGATGTTTGTTATGGGCTAAAATTGGCTCATGGGCCCTTGAAATTGTTTGTTATAGAGCGGTTTTGATATAAGAAATATATGGGAATCCGGGTTACAAAGATTCCTCGTAATACCTAATACCCCGAAACCTCGGTACAACGAACTCTTATGTATCAAAACCTGTCCATAATAAACAATTTCACTTGCGTCATCAGTCAATATTTGGCTGAATTGAACCTTCATTCAACAAAGTATTTTTTTATCCTGTCGGAAAAATAATGTGGATGATGTCGCAGCAAAATGTCGCGTCTCGTTGCGACCCAAATCTCCAGCCGCGGCTGGCCGTCGCAAAGCAATGAAAAAGCTTGATAAATCCACATTATTTTCCCGACGGACTAGTATGTATAACGAAATAAATTATGCTATAAAAAATAAATTTTTTGGTTCCTTACGATCCCTTCTATGGCGACTGTAAAATATCTCGATTTGACCTCAAAAAACAACAAATCTCCGTCTCAAAAACTTTAATTCCCCCGTTTTATACCGCATTAAAATTCGCAATGATCCTCGTTATCATCCCCAAACATAAACTTTCACTGGGATCGTAAATTGCTATCAAAATAATAAAACGGAAAGAGAAATCATAATTTAGTGCATTTCTGAGAACCTTCAAATTTATTTTATTCAAATGATTTGGATAGGAGATAACAAGAAATGAAAACAATGAGTCAGGAAGGCAGAAAAGTGATATACATACATGGAGCGGAATTTCTGTATAAAAAATTCTGGAAAAAAACCTGTCTATAACAAACAATTTAGGAGGTTGCAAGAGTCAATTTGCAAGGGAAGTACGCCAAGTGCGACGCTCAGATTTTCTTTCAATTTTGCACACATTTTGGGCACAGACCACATAAAAATTCCTGAAAGCTTTAGCTTTGCAGGGCAAGATCCGAGATTATCAAAGACCTTTGCGACGGAGAGAATACGCGAAACGCGGTCAGAGAAAAAAAAACACTTTTTTGATTATGTCTTTGCCAGTTTCGCGGAGAAAGAAATAATTTTATGCGCAAATATCACCGAAAAGTTTCATGCCAAAATTCGCAAAAAGTGTAATTTTTTCAAGTTTCAACCAAAAAATCTCGACCTTTTATGCAAAGCGCAAGAATTTGTTCCAAGTTTCATCAAGACCTGAGCGTCGCACTTGAAGTTCTTCCCCTGTTAAATCAAAATGAACCTTTTTACAACAAAACTTTTATATAACAAATAATTCTTTTGGCTTCTTTTACTTCGTTCGATTCATTCTTTTTTTACCAAATTTCGACGGTACTTTTCAAAAATTGTAGCAAAAAACAAATATTTTTTTTAATTAAAACTTCTTTCTTCGAAGAGATACGCAGCAAATTCCTTCAACTCGTCATTGTCAGCACCATATTTTGTGACGATCATACCATCCTCAACCAGATGAACAAGACGGCATCCAAGAATGGTAATGGGAACGCCAAACAACGCAGACAACCTTGGTAACACGGAAAACAAGCTACTTCCGATTGGGACAAATTCCGTTGCAACTTTTGGACCAGCGCCGGTTCCATAAATAAAGTGGCAAATTATTTTTCCCTAAAGGTTTTAGATAAAGCGAATTTGCTGGTTGCCTACCTGTTGCTTATCCAATTCTTCCTGCGACTTTTCGTTGACGAGCAGGACGCCAGTAGTACAATCATCGATAATATTTAAAAAAAAGTAACGAGAGCCGCTCATAATCTGCAAAATTGATGTTCCAGTACGAAACGATCCGTCGATTGCAAAGATTGGGCCGGTGGGTGCAGAATCGTCGTTCAGACCTCCCGGGATTCTAACGCGAACACTTGTTGAACTCATTTTCTGAAACAATTGTAGTAACAACGGAACTATTTGGTGGACGAGCAGGACGCGTATTATATGCATATTAACCGTCCAAGAAAGTCTTTTTTGCAAGTCTCCTGCAGCAGTCGCAAAAACAGACTTTTTCCAGCCGGGCTTGAACATTTTGAACGTGCCCACCTTTTTGGAATAGAGGTCAAAGTTTATAAATGAGGATCAAAAGATCTTCCCCAAAAGAAACTTACCGCGTGTCCGATCCACCTTTTATCATACATCACAAAATCCCCCGTCGTGCCAATGTCATCAAGACGACAGGTCACACCGTCCTGGAGAGCCATGGTTACCACCTCACATAATCCTTTTTCAGAAATCATCTCCAAGTAAGTGGTGTAATGCGCACGTTTCCCTTCCCCAGCACAAGCGCCTCGACGCTGAATCTTGTAATCATACTCCTAAAAAAACAATTTATTGAGATTTACGGCAGAAGGATGAGTTAAAGACATATAAAGCAAACCTTTTGGCTAGGAATACGTTTCCACTGGCTGTCAAAAATAAGTTTCTTCGCAAAAACGCTAGTTGCAAGGACCGAGAGTGACCAATCCACGCTTCTGTAACAGGTCGATAACGCATACGTTGCTCCATTGATTCGCCACTGGAATGTTTTTCATTTTTATTTCTGCTTGCGAGGAAACATAAAGGTCTTTCTTCGCGGCGAATACGACAGGATTCTCATTATTTCCCCGACAGAGTAATATATATGGGAGGTGTTTTATAAATTTCAGCGCGCTAGTCCATCCGAACCCTGCGGATTTAGTCCAAAGTTAAAAGTTGCGCAATCTTACACAACGTTGCGCAATTTCTCACTTTGTAAAAATTTCTGCGTTTCTCCTCCCCTGCTTTTTTGTGAACTTCTAACTTTGGACTAAATCCGCGGGGTTGGGTTGGACTAGCGCGCTGAAATTTATAAAACACCTCCCATTTATATTTACTCTGTCGGGGAAATAATGAGCATTCTGTCGTATTCGCCGCGAAGAAAAACGAATTATGGAAAATAAAACTGCATCTCTTTCCACTTGAGCGATAAATATACATCATACCCCTCGGGAAATTGGACGACCCTCACCGTCGCCACTTTCTGCTGAGAACGTTGGTTCATGGTGCTGGTTCTTTTTACTGCAGCGACACGGTCGATCAAGTGACATTGTGCTCGTTATTTTCCTGCCAGACTGATATTGCATGAACAAACTCGCAAAAAAAAACTCGATTTTTTCCCAAGTTTTGGACCAAAAATCTCGGTTGTCAGAAAATATGTTGTTCATTGAATATAAGCATGGCTGCAAACCGGGCCAGCCCGGCCCGGCCCGGGCCTGCGGGCCGGGCCTAAATCTCCAAGCCCGGCCCGGGCCCGGGCTTGGAAAATTTGGAAAGCCCGGCCCGGTTCGGCCCGGAAAAATTTTGTACTAGGCTGGAAAGAAACAAAGCAGGAAATGAAGGGAAAATTATGGCACATTTCGCAAAATGTAAAGAATAATTTAGCAAAACCTATACATAGTGCAACTGCCGCTCGACTATTTTTATAAATTACTAAGTCGCCATAAATTGTCTTACCATATGGTTACAAAAAATAGTAAAATTTTATGTATAGTCACCGAAATTTTAGTAAAAATATTTTATCACAGATCTTTTATCGGATTTGAAAAAACCTACAAGCGTATTGCGTATTTTTGAAAAATTTTCCTTTTTCTCTTTTTGCCAGCGTATTAACTATGAGGTCGCACTTTAGAATTTCCGAAAATTTTTTCAAATTGACTTGAAAATTTTTTTTTTTATTTGGGCGAGTGGTAAATATGGTCACTTTACTTTCGCTATCAGCATTGTGTTCGAAAAAATGAAAAATTCTATCGAAAAAGCTTGTTTTTTCCCTTTTTTCCGGGCAAAACTCAGATTTCAAAAAAACCGGGCCGGCCCGGGCCGGGCCGGGCCTGAAAATCCAAGCCCGGGGTCGGGCCGAGAAATTAGTCGGCCCGGCCCGGGCCGGAAAATTTTGGAAAGCCCGGCCCGGAGCCATGCCTAATTGAATAAGAATAACAACCGAGCACCTTTTCCCTTCCAACCTTCGAGAAGCTTCGAATGAAACGGAATGCCAATAACGTAGTCGTAGGTTTCGTCTCGGGACTCAACAAAAAAACGTCCAAAGAAAAATTAGAGACATTTTATACGACGAAATATTTCTAATCTTATCAGAATGAAAACAGAACTGTCGATATTGATAGGAATGGTAAGAAAACCCGTTTTACATCGACGCACTCATATCATTACCACAAAAATATTATTCTTTAATGAATTTTGGTAAACATGAATACTACATAGACATTGCCTTCAAAGGATGCTTCAGAATAGGCTTTGTTCGATAATAATAAAATATAAACTTCAATAATGGAAATAATTCCTTCATCTTGATTGACGTATTAACAGTATTCAAAAAAAAACTCCGCATTACATTACAGCTTTTATGCAATTCCCCGATGTTTTGAAACTTTTGTGTCAGCCAAAACGTTTGGTTTTGCCGAAAGTTTGGTTTTTCGGCAACTCGATTTTTGTTATAAATATGTTCGGTTACCGTGCAACGGATTTCAAAGGAGATATAAGTAAGAACGGAGTCTCAAAATAAATTGTTGAGAAAAATCAAATTCTCCGAAACAACAACGATAATTTCGGATGCCCAAGAGTGAATTCCAAACCAAAATGAATTTTCAAACAACGAAATCTTTTATAGAAAAAAAATTTTTTTGATCACTTCCAATTGTGTTTCTGGTAATCTTGAACAATTTTATTAAAACAAAAAAATTCTTTTTTACATCATCATTCGATCAGATAGCCGGCAAATTCTTCCAATTCCCGAATATCATCAGCAAACTTGGTGACAATCATATCGTCGTCGTAGAAATGGACTCTACGGCATCCAAGTACAGTCATGGGAATGCCAAACTTAACAGACAGTTCAGGTAGCACATTAAGGAAATCGCTTCCAGTCTCTACAAATAGAGAAACAAGCTTGCAGTCAGTGCCGATGTCGAGCATGAAGTGGCACAATATTTTTCCCTAAAAATTACGTATTCAGTATGCAATATCATACAGTAGCAAACCTGATCCATTGGCAAATAACGTACCATTTTACATCCAGAAAGGAACCAAAATGTGGCCAAACCTCCCTTCTCTAACAAAAAAAAAACTTTTTGTAAGCAAAAAAAATACAATAAGTAGAGAAAGGAGGTATTTTGCGACATTTGGGTTCCTTCCTGCATGCAAAATGGTACGTTTTTTGCTGCTAGATCAGGTCCGCCACTTTATGTCAGCGAAATTTATTGGCTCTTACCTCTACTTTTTTCACTTCACAGCCTTTAACGTGATCGTCAGGCATTTCAAAATCAAATTTGTTTTTTACCGCATTTTCAATGTTTTTTACGTCATAGAGAATCTCATCTCCCACCGTACAAAGATCATTCAGACGGGTAAACTCGCCGTCTTTGATGAGCTCAGTTACCATGGCTAAGGTAGGTTTCAATAACATTCTTTCAAAAAACATCTCCAAATAAGTCGTACAATCTTTTCCTGTTATGGAAGAAACGTGGCCTCTGGCTCGACGAACACAGTTGTAAATGTGCTCCTAGAATGTCAGAATACGACGAATTGCAAAAATAGAAACATTATCACGACTACAAAACAAACCTTCTGGCTAGGAATACGTTTCCAATTGTTGTCGAAAATAGGCGTCATGGCAAACACACTGGTAGCCAGGACGGAAACTTGCCAATTGACACTGTTGTAAGTGGTTGACAACGCATACGTCGCTCCGTTGACTCGCCACTGAAATTTTCATATAAGTATCGAGATTTTATTTCCAGGTTGCGAGCGACAGCCCAGAACAGCGACTTTGTAAACGGTCTGGTACAGAGCCTAGACAGAACATGTCTGCCGATTTGACAACAAATATTATGCGATTAATTCGAGAATACTCACCCTTTTTTGTTCCGTTTTTGTCATTATCGCAACATATTGGGCTTCTTGGTCCACCATCTCCGTCTCTTTGATGTACTCCCATTTGCCATCTTTCCATTTCCCACACACAAAGATGTGATATTCAGGAAATTCCTTTCTCATCTTTTTGTTGGTGATGTATGCCCATGACAAAACTTGTTGTATGTTCCCAGCTTTTGAGGGCAGATTGCTTTCGAATACTCCAAAATCCGAAACTCCATCCTTGGCGACGAGAAAAGTCAATGGAGCTTTGACATCGGGCTGAAAGAACAGATTTTGCATTCAATAAGAAAGTTACCTCTCGGGAAATTGGCCGAGCCTCATCGATGGCGACTTTCAGCTGAGAAAGTTGGTTAATTGTCTTGTTGATTTCGTGGGATAGCTGAAAGATGGAAAAAGGATATATATATATATACATATACTCCTATATATATACTATATCACTCGTCTGAAAAATAATGAGCATCCTGTCGTATTCGCCGCAAATAAAACGAATTATGGAAAGTCAAATTGCATCTCTTTCCCACTTGAGCGGTACATATACATTATATTTGCGCAGCGACATTGCGATCATTATTTTCCCGACAGACTGAGAAAACCACAAAAGCAAAGTTTTTGGCAAACTTACAGTAAAGCTCATGTCGGTTGAAGGACTAGGATCGTTTGGGCTATGAAGAAACGAGCAGCTCGACATTAGCACTACAGAAAAATATAAAAAATGGAACTAACGCTATACGTTTCTCTGCTCAATGTATTTGGCGTCCAAAGAAAAGCCTCCGATTAATTGTGCAACAAGCCAAGCACGCAAAATCGCAGAAATAAAGTTTGAAATATCGCTGGATCAAGATGTTCCAAAAATCTTTACAGTAATGAAATAATTCCTTCAGCTTGGTTGAAAAATTAACGGTATTCAAAATAAGCTCCGTATTACATTACAGTTTTTATACAAACTTTCTGTTTTCCGAAACTTTTGGGTCAGCCAAAACTTTAGCAAATTGTCGATTTTAGGGTCGATTTTTTCGACGATTTTGTTTGAATGCAAAAATTTGCCAAACAATATGCGAAATATATTTATTCGGTTTCTCAAAAATGTACAGGTTTAAATATTACTAAACATTAAAAAAAGTTTTTTTGATTTTCAAACATTTGCCGGTACCGCAAAATTCTTGGTTCGATAATTGAGGACTCCTCTCGGTGGCTCTCCATTCTTGGCTTTTTCCGTTTTTTCCACATAATACTTTGCAAATTCCTCGAAGAACGCGCTCAATTCCCGTGGATTGCTTTGGTCAAAGATCGCGTACGACGGATTTCCATTGCAGTTTTTGAAGGCGATAGCGCCGGCCTGCCCCATCTGAGTGGTCGCAATTGCATATCCCTTCTCATAATCATGCTCAAACGGATTTACGGAGGCCGCAGTGACCTTGCCCGACAGAATTTTCTTCGGCAAATCGGGCTCGGCCGCGATCGGCCGCGCCAACCCAATCCCGTCGGTGGCCCCGTCCTTAATCGCTTTGACCATGCCAGAAGCCGTCCGAAAGCCGCCAGTCAGGTAGACAACGACGTTCTGGAGATGAGGCTTGATGGCTTCGGTGAATTGAACGAAAAATCCTTCGCGTTTTTTGGTCGATTCGCGAGGAGTCAGGGCCCAGGACTCGTAGGTACCGCCGGAGAATTCGATGAAATCAAAACCGGTGGACTGAAAAATGGATTTTGTGAATTTTGAAAGGAAAAGACTTGGAAATTTTCAGCACAGTATGAATTTTTCCCAAAACTTTTGTTGGATTATGTACCCAAGTGCGATCTTCTGATTTTCTTTCGATTTTGCATACACGCCTGGCACAGGCCACCGATCAATTCGTGAAAGTTTTAACTCTCACTTTCCACGGAGGCCAGAGATATTGAACGATCTCTGCTGCCGAGAGAGTATGCAAAACGCGGAGAGTGGTCAAAAAGAAAAAACACTTTTTGGCCATAACTTTGCCAGTTTCGAGGGGAAAAAATGTTTTGTGGAAAAACTGCACTCTCTAAAGCAGAAATATTTAACAAACTTTATGCCAAAAAATTTAAAAAATAGTCAATTTTTTCCAAATTCCGACCGAAAAGATCTCGGTGATTTCTGCAAAGCGCGAGCTAAAAATCTTGCATATGTCTTCTGAAAAATCATTCTAAATTTGTCCCAATTTTTATCAAAATCTGAGCGTTTCATTTGGGATGCTTTCATTTTAGTGAAATTTTTTTTAAAAATACTGCAGAAAAGATGTATAAAACTTACATCCACAATTTTAGCGGTCGTCACAGCGTCTTGCAAGCCAAGCCCGTGGTTTTGGAATTCAACGGAATTCAGTTTTACGCCAATCACAAATCCGGTGGAGGCTGGGATCTTCTCTCTGAAAGTTGATTTTTTTAGTATTTTTATTTGAAAAAGGACAATATTTCTCCAAAAAAATGTAGATTTTTTCCTAAAACTTCTGTATTTCCCCTCTTACCTAATAGCATTATAAATGTCGACCAAGATTTGCGCTCTCTTCTCCGCATTTCCTCCATACCGATCAGTTCTCAAGTTGGTTTGCGGTGAGATAAACTGCGCCAAAAGGTATCCATGAGCTCCATGAAGCTCCACTCCATCGAATCCGGATTCGTAAAGCTTTTGAGCGGTAAACACAAACCGATCAATGACTTCGGTTTGGATTTCCTCTAGGGTCAAGACTCTGGGACGGCCGAAGGAGAGGCCAAACGTTTTGCGGGTCAGTTGAACATCCGATGGGGCAAATGGATGAGCAACGAGGATTTCAGGGCTCTGACGACCGCCATGGCTGGCTTGAGCGATAGCCAGAGAGCCGTCGGATTTGATGACTTGGGCGAGCTTGCTGAAAGTCCAAAAAATAGGAAAATTTTGGGTTTTTTGGGAACATAGGCCATTAAGGACATGAATAATATAAAAATTGATTAAAATCCGGGACAAAAAATTTTTGAAAAACAAAAAAAAAAATTGTTTTTCCTTTTTTCCGAAAAAAATCAACCTACCGATAAGCCTCGGCCTTTCTGTCGGACCACGTTTCCTTGCTGATGACCATATTTCCAGCACTCTCCAGGTGCAGATGATCTACTATCAAATTTCCGGTGAGGACCACGCCAAATCCTCCATTTCCCCATTTCTCATACAAATTGTGCAAAGATTCAGTGGGAATTCCAACATTTAGGAGGTTATCCCTGTCCCAAGTGGCGAGGGTCTCCGTCATTGAGGCCTGAAAAATTGGCATAAATTTCAAAAAAGAAGTTTTTTTTTTATTTTAAAATTTTTTGAAAAAAGGATTAAAATTTTTCCTACCGTAATCCTCCCAGTTTCACCAAAAAATCAAAAAAAAATTCCAAACTTTTACCTTCAAAAACCGATTTTTGGCCACTCTTCCACTCGTCTTGAAGGCCAACTGCTCTCCCAAAACTTTGACATCGACCTTTTCGTTGACTTCGTATCTTGCAGCGACCATTTTTGGTGGTAAACAGAAGTAATTCGTAGTAATTTGGTAGGAGTGTTTCTCTTTGAAAGTTGTTGTTGCTCTCGGTTGAACTCTTTATATACCGTTGCCCTTCAAAATACAAAGATTGAATTGTCTGGGGGGTCGAGTAAATGAGGAGCAGAGGGCGAATACAAACTCGAATGAAGTCGATTCGTTCGGTTTTCCATCAGAAAGCACGCAGAACCCTGGAGAGGCACCTCACACACCGAGCAAACCACGAAACAGAGGCTTTTTACAGGAACGACTGTGATCACTGATGACTACTGGTGTTCTTCATAAAGTGCGTAGACCTTTTTTCGGCTTTTTCGCGAACGCACGTGAATTTTTTCATTTTCATCCGAAAAGTGAAATAGTTTCTTCAAACGCATAGTGCAAAAAAGGTTCGCGACGAAAAGTTCACGCACTTTATAAAAAATCTGTACTGTTGGGGCACGGCTTTCAAGCCAGACCGCAATTTTTGGGATAGGGTCGCTTTTTAAATTTCCTTCTGCGCGGCCCAATGTCCACTGATGACTGAAACCACCAACATTCCACATCTTTTGCTGAAATCGCCAAAGAAGTCAAACAACAGGAAGACAAGAAGTTTACTGTGGTGGCGGAATTTGCAACAGGGGCTAAAGACGAAGCTGCTACCAACGCCGCTGACAAAGAGCTTGGCGAAAAACTGGTGGGCGCTGCGGTATTAGACACCAATGTGATTGAAAAAACGTGGAGACACACTGACAGTACTTGGAAAGCCGATAAACGCCGTCCACGCCCGTTGAAAATCACCTTGGCCGGACCCCACAAAGCCCACGACATCATCAAATCGTTGCGAGCAGCCAAAAAGTTGGTTGCCTCCAAAGGCTCATGTTTGACGAGACGCATTCTGAACAAAATCAACTCTTCGAAGCCCGACGCAAATGCCACGACCTGAGCTCTGCTGCTCATGCGTCGAAGTACTACGTAGATGATCCGTTCAATGTAAAAGAAATAAAAAGCCCGCGTCCATGGTCTACTGCTCCGTACTGTGTCTAACCAATCCTGACCGCTTCACCACCGAACCGGACGATAATGGCGCACAAGCAATTTGTCTAGTGTCCGTAACTTTTGTCTAGATTCGATATGAGTACATGCAAAATATCTCAAAATGGTAAGCTCTCCCAGGGCCCGATCAATCGTACTATTTCTACTAACCAAGCCTTTTCTATACAGCGACAAACCGATGCGATCCATAGTATCGTTGACCCGAACTGTCGCTAACTCGAGAAGTCGTAGCGCTGTCTATACTCGTTTATTACTCGCGGTATAGCAACTACAGCTTTTGACCAAAAACTTTATTTATTGCATAAAAAATCATTCAAACAAATAAGCGGCAAATTCAGCCAGTTTGTGCACGTCCTTCACATATTTGGTCACGACGAATTCTCCTTCGAAAAGATGTACTAAGCGGGATCCAATTCGCGAGATTGGGATTTCAAACTTGTCTGAGAGCTCTGGTATCACGTCCAATAAACTACTGTCATTGTGGACATGCAGAGTGATGATCTTGCGATTGGCATCGGCTCCGTAAATAAAGTGATGCACTGTTTTACCCTAAATTAAAGTTTATAAATTAAGTAAGCATTATAATAAATATTTATTACCTCTTTCTTTTCGACCTTCTTGGAGACCAGCTCACTTCCCCTCGGCCAAGAAAAGTTGTTACCGTCCAGGTTGATGCCATTAACAACTTGAAAAAGACTGTTGCCTGTGTTGTGACTGTTGCCGTATTCAAATATTAGGCGTTGATAGTTGTCTTCCCCGATTTTGCATAAGATCTTTAATACAAGCTAAATCGACAATTTCCTTTTGAGAAACGAACGGCTTACATGATCAAAGATACATCGCATATTAAAATTCAGTTCATCAGCGCCTGCACAAATAGCGTTCAGTGGGCTCATGCGTCTTGAGCCATCCTTCACAAACCGGACTATGCTGTCACTTATCGTCTTCTTTGTCTCGAAATAGACCTCGAGGAAAGTCTTCTTGGACTTGCAAACCACTTTTTTGACTCCCCAACACTCACTCTCTACCTGTGTTGCGTTGGCTGTGCACTAAACGACCAAGGTTATAGCAATGTGTTATGTGAAATGCAATCTTTATAAAGATTCTTACCGGTTCGTTATCGACCCGTTTCCATTGGTAATTGTAGAGAAATTCTGTCGCAAATATAGCAGTCACCAACACACTGGTGTCCCAAGAGCAAAAAAAGGATTCCAATGCAAAAATAGCTCCGTTTGTCAAGTACTGAAACAAAAATTTACTCTCAGTCTGTCGGGAAAATAATGTGGATATGTCGCATCTATCATTCTGTCGGGGAAGTAATGTGGATTTGCCGCAGCTCTCAGTCTGTCGGGAAGATAATGTGGATTTGTCGCATCCATCTGGCTGTCGGTTAAATAATGTGCTAAATCTTACCGTTCTAAACCTCTTTCTTGTCATTATGACCAAGTATTCGTCGTCATGAGACAATTCTCCCTTCCCGGATGCCACCTCCCATCGAGTTTTGTTCCATCTCCCAATCACAAGAACCCAATGATCCTGGTATTCGGGCTGCATCTCGGGATGACTGATGTATGCAAACTCTGCCAGCGTTTGGAGATTCCCCTTGATTGCGGGGACATTTGCTTTGAATACCTTGAATTCCGATTTATTGGCATTGGTGATGATCAGGAAGGTAAATGGGGTATTCCAGTACCTCTGAAAATGAAGAAATCAAAATCATAAAAAGATAATAATAGTCCGCAAATTTTTGCGATGCTAGGTTGGCTCTAGGTCGTGGCATGAGTTCGATGATTGCCTGTAATAATATGAAAACAAAGACTCACATTGGGATTCGAGTTAACATTCTCGACCATGATCTCTAACTGCTCCAACTTTTTGCTCAAAGCACCAATTTCTCGTTTGATCTGTAAAATGTGAACTCAATGGAGAAGAGCTCCTCTCAACCCAACCACTATTTTACGACGGATCAACTAAACATCGATTTGACTTACCGGCGAAATACTCATGTTCGGGGAATTGTTGGAGCTGTGGTCAAAACCACTGCCACACATTCGAAGTTGAGAGATGAAGAAGAATAAATTCTCCCGGCGCTAACGCTTTCTTAGAATACCTGTCATTGCGTCATCAGCGTCTTATTGCTTATAGTAATTTGCGTTTTTTCTGGCGTTTAGATGATGGCTTAAAGATAGATTTTGTGTCTAGGCGGCTCTTTTCGGCAGCATAATGCATTCATCATCCTTTTTTGAGAAAGACAATAAAGAGAGTATCCAAATAAGGGAGTACCCATGAATGCCGCAAGTGAAAGGCTGTCCATTAACACATCAAGATTGAGAGTCGGTCAACTTCATACCGGACGACGATTTTTAAGAATGAGATATCTAAAGCGAACATATAACATCCGGCATGAAAAGTGTCGGGGTATGATCTTAAGACATCATAGTTAACAAGTAAAATTTTCTTTTGTCCCTGGGCCCAAAGAAGGTCCGGAGACAATCCAACCTCTGATCGCGGACATGCTGCAAGTGCGAAGCTACAGTAGACCAATAAGCCAAAAAAAATTGAAATGTTGTAAATTTCTGTGTTAACAGTATCAGCCTAACAAAGGCCTTTTTTGGAACTCATTGCGCTGGGTCGTCATTCGTATGTGGCTTCGTCTCGGTTGAGCCTCCAGCACATTTTTATATTATTCATGATCACCTTCTTTAGTCTACCGTAAATTCCTCAAATTATAATCGCTTTTCCATAAAAATTTTTATGCAATCTCGACAGACAGAGTCGTCTTTCATCTAACCAAACTTATTTCAACGCTTTCTTCCTCAATTTTTATCAAAATCCCAACTACAAGCCCACACTTGACCCAATCATCAAATAGAGAGAGACACTTGACCCTTTTTGAAGAAATTCGGAAATTTTTCTTTTACCATCTTGTTCCGTATGATGCAACAGCGCTGCCGACATGAATCGTAGAACAACCCGTTTATTAGCACGTACGGTGCACTCCATATTAAAGCAGAGCCGGTTTTACAGTGAATTGCCTAAAAATCCTCGAGTGAAAGTAAGATTTTTCAATTGTTTTATCTTTATTTTTAGGAGAATCTTCTCTCGCCAACCGATGTCTTGTTTGTCCTAAGACAGCACGGAGATTTAGCGCATCATTTGAGGTACCTGCAGGGCCGACTTCAAGGCCAGAGGTTTAGATTTTTCAACAAAACTGAGAAGGAGACCAAGAAAGCTGATGGTAAGGAGAATATCGGGAATTTCTTGAGGATGTCGGCGAATATTGATGGGTTTTTTGCTTACGATAGTTGAGAAATCGCATCTCCTCTCTGTCTATAACAGTTTTGAATTGATTTTGAGCGGTGTTTTACTAAAAATTACAAATTATATTATCCATGAGGACACGTCACAAAAAATATTTATTTTTTGACGTTCTTGAAAGTTTTGTGGAATGAATTTTATATTTCTAGATTCTCAGAGAGATAACGGTTCTTTAGATATATAAATTTTCGGTCTTTTCGTGTTTTATGTGATTCATTTTACCTATTTTAGGAAAGTCCGACGGAAAACCTGAAGGTCCAGCTGGATTGAATATGTAAGTCCACTTTGTCTTCTTTAATCTCTTTTTAGACCCGGAAACAATTGGCAGAAGATTGCGGTCTCAGTAGCTGTCATATTCTTGCTCCAAATTATAACCGAATACGCGTCTTATAAGGAGGTCTCGTGGAAGGAGTTCTTCTCCGATTTCCTTGAAGCCGGAAAAGTCGAAAGACTCGAAGTGGTGAACAAGGCATGGGTCCGAATTGTTAGCAATCAAAGCTCCGCTACTCCATACACCTACTACTTCAACATTGGATCGGTGGACAGTTTTGAGAGATCATTGGCGGCTGCTCAACATCATCTGCAAATTGAGCCGGACAAACAAATTCCTGTGTTATACAAGAATGAGACTGATCTGTAAGGGTTTTAAATTTGTTTTCTTGGTTTTTAGGTGGTTTTGGATAAGTTGGATCAATTTTGGGCCAATTTTTTGGAACATTAAGTTGTCGTTGCTGATGTGTAATATAATTTTCTGCTTCTTTTTGCGATTTCCTTTGAAGTTGCAGCTTTAAAAATGAGAATTGGCGTTTTTGGACTCAATTAGTCAAGATAAAAATATTATTTTACCATTTATATTACACATGATCAAATGTAATATGAACATCCTCTAATTCCCGTCTAATCCCCCTTCTTTTAGCAAGAGAGAAATTCCGAACATAATCTCGACGGCTGTTCCTCTCTTCTTTGCCTACTATTTGTACCGCACCTTCTTCAAATCTGGCGCTGCTGGTGGCTCCAAAGGTGGTGGTGGACCATTTGGAGCTGGTGGATTGTTTGGCGTTGGCCAGAGTACAGCAAGATTGATCAATAAGGAAGACATTAAAGTGACGTTCAGAGATGTTGCTGGCTGTGAAGAGGCCAAGATTGAAATTATGGAATTCGTCAATTTCTTGAAGAATCCAGGGCAATATAAGGCGTTGGGTGCTAAAATTCCGAAGGTAAAAGGGGTGTTGGGATGATTTTTTATGGGGTGGAAGGTCGAAAAATTGATTTTTTATTAGGTTTAATGTAAAAAAAAATAAAAATTTTGTCAAGTGTAATGTCCGATATGTTCTATTTTTTGATTTTATGGCTTTAAAAACGCTGTAGTAGATGATTGAATTCTAAAATTAAAGATTTTCCAAAAATTTTGTCATGGATAATATAAATTTTTTCTAGGGAGCCATTTTAACCGGTCCTCCAGGTACTGGTAAGACCCTTCTGGCCAAAGCAACCGCCGGAGAAGCCAATGTCCCCTTCATCACTGTCTCCGGATCAGAATTCCTCGAAATGTTTGTTGGTGTTGGCCCCGCAAGAGTCCGTGATATGTTTGCCATGGCCCGAAAGAACTCCCCATGCATCTTGTTCATCGACGAAATTGATGCGGTCGGAAGAAAAAGAGGTGGTCGGGGAGGAATGGGAGGCCACTCTGAACAGGAGAATACGCTGAATCAACTTTTGGTCGAAATGGACGGTGAGATTTTTAATTTTTGTTTTTTTTTTTGGTTTTTAGGTGGATTGAAGAGGAGCAAGAGGAGCTCACGGAAGTTTGGAGGACTTTGGAGACTTTCTGACACTTTTTTGTTCAAGTTTTTTCTACCAAAAATTCCAATTTCAAGTTAAATTTCGACGATTTTTAGGATTCTCTACCGATGATTCGTCCGTGGTCGTAATGGCCGCCACAAATCGAGCCGACATCCTCGACAAGGCCCTCATGCGTCCAGGCCGCTTCGATCGCCAGATCTACGTCCCAGTTCCCGACATCAAAGGCCGCGCCTCCATCTTCCGTGTCCATTTGGGCCCACTGAAGACGTCACTCGACAAAACGGAACTCTCCAGAAAATTGTCCGCCCACACCCCCGGATTCTCCGGAGCCGACATTGCGAACGTGTGCAACGAGGCGGCTCTGATTGCGGCCCGAGACGCCAACGACGAGATCACGATGAAGAACTTTGAAGCCGCCATCGAACGAGTTGTGGCAGGCATGGAGAAGAAGAGCCAGGTCCTCCAACCCGAGGAAAAGAAGACCGTCGCCTATCACGAAGCGGGCCATGCGGTGGCAGGATGGTTCCTACAGTACGCAGACCCTCTGCTCAAAGTCTCCATCATCCCCAGAGGAAAGGGACTGGGATATGCGCAGTATTTGCCCAAGGAACAGTACCTCTACTCCAAGGAGCAATTATTCGACCGAATGTGTATGACCCTGGGCGGCAGAGTCAGCGAAGAGATCTTCTTTGGACGCATCACCACCGGAGCCCAAGATGACCTGCAAAAAGTTACTCAAATGGCGTATTCTCAGGTGAGAAATTTGGGATTATACAGGGTGACCCAAAATAACGGAGACAATTTTTGAAGGGTCCCACCGCGAAAACCGGGCGTTAGAGAAACATAAGCAACAGCGGGTAATATTCTATAACACCTTCTCTATAATCCACGAGAATTTGGTGGAATCATCATGTCGCAGTAAAAAGTTACAGCTTAAGAAAGATGCTTTGCGCCGTTTTTTGGGCCTTCAATTTTGGTTCCCTTGTGTTGTGTAAAGCCTGGCTGTACTACAGCCGCAGAAATGGCAAGTTCATTTGTTTTGTTAGAATACTATGTCTGTAAGAAAGCAGTTGCGTAGGTTTTTGGGCTACGGTTTTTATTTCTGCGGCGGTACCGATCTCAACATTGAAGATCGCCATTTTTTCCAAATTTTTTCCATAAAAATTTCAGTTTTTCTCGAATAAAGCTAAAACCGCTAGTACGTGTTCTATTCATAAATACAATGATTCTGAAAAAATCTGTGATTGCTTGCTGGTTGCAACAGCTTTTCCTTAACAAGTTTCTCGCCCAGAACCACCCCATGGCACGCGGCTTTGAGAAAGATGGGTTATCGATAAAAAAATGACAAGATAGATAAAAACGGCGCATTCTGCTCTTGTACACTTATAAATACGACTCTTGAGAATCGGCCTAGGGCACTTTCGGTCTTTTTGTGTCACCGGCTCGACTGGTATTCCGCCTAAGGCAAAATAAGGCACAATTCTAGTGATTACCAAATAGCATTCCGTAGTAGTTAAAAAATGTTTCTCTTTTGGTTCTATGGTGTTCCTTTAATCATGTTCTAGTAACTCATATTACATTTTGCCTTATCTAACATTTAAACTCCATCTTACGCTTACATTTTCAAAAAAGGCCGATTTTTGCACTTCAACTGTCTGAAAATACTCGGCTGTAACTTTTGAACCATCGACAGTTAAGCTTAGTATGATAGCTCGTTTTAAAGGTCTTATTACGATAATTAATCACTGCAAATCTCAAGCTATTCCGAGTTTTCTTTTTTGAGTAAGGCAGCTTTCTTGTAAAAAGACCCCACGGGCGGAAGGGTCCGAGTCAACCGGATATATTCATGTCGTTCAAGACAGAAGAGCGTCGTACAACAAAACTACCGGTAAATAAAACTACCCTAACGTGGTACTGTAATATAAGTAAGTAGTCACTCATGAATCTTAATAAGTCGCAGAAAAAACGGAAAATCTTTTGTCTCCGTTATTTTGGGTCACCCTGTATTGTACATGAGGGACTTGAATCTTTTTTTTGAAATTTATGGCAAAAATTTCGGGAAGTTTTGAGAAAAAAGGAGTGGAAATGAAGGAGTGATATTTTTAGAATGGGAAAGAACTGGGTTTAGAAATTTAAAGTGTCATCATGACGGATTTTTTTGACATTTTTTTGAGAAGCATTGGTTTTTAAAATTTTTGTGAAGAAGAGATTGAAATATAAATATTTAGGTTAAAAATGAAGAATCAAGAATTTAGAGTAGGTTTTAACGTATTCTGAAATTTGAATGAGTCATCATGACGGATTTTTTTTCAAATTTTTTTTGTTTTTTTTCGAAAGTTATTTTTTGCTGTTTTCAGATTGTAAAATTCGGTATGAGCGAGAAAGTAGGTCCCCTCTCCTTCGACACAGCCCAGCCCGGCGACATGGCCTTCGATAAGCCGTATTCCGAGGCCACCGCTCAACTGATCGACCAAGAAGTCCGAGATTTGGTCGGAACTGCCCTCAAATGGACCCGAGAGTTGCTGGTATCCAAACGTGAGGAGATTGAGAAAGTTGCGGCCAGATTGCTGGAGAAGGAGATCTTGGCCAGAGAGGATATGATCGAACTTTTGGGAAAGCGGCCGTTCGCCGAGAAACACACTTATGAAGAATTTGTGGCCGGCACTGGTGGCCTAGACGAAGATACCAGCCTTCCGAAGGGCCTCGGATCCTGGAATGAGAGCAAAGAAGACAAGGAGAAGAAGGAAGCGGAGAAAGGAAAGTAAAAATAGACTTGGCGATATTATCCATGGCTAGGAGATGATTTTTAATGGAATTTAATGGTTTTGAGGGACTTTTTGGTGGGATAAATTAAGAGTAGAGAGAGGTAGGAGGTTAGAGATTTTGGTAGGTTTGGTGTTTTGAGAATTTGAGGGTTTAAAGTTTTTGAAAATAGCGATTTTTTCGAAAATTTGAGTGATTTTTGGAGATTTTGGAAAAAAAGTTAGTTTTTTTTCGAAATTTGAGTTTAGATCTATTGAATTTGATGTTTAAGAGAAAGGAAATGCTATTAGAAAGATTTTGTGATTAGATAGACCGCCTATTTACCTAGTATAATATCCAAAATCAGCTAAAATATCAAAAATCTTTGACAGTTCTTGGTCTAAAAGTCCCATTTTGGTGCTGGATTTGACTTTAGACCGTCGAATTTTACCTCAAAATCATTTGTAATTCCCAAGAAGAGAGAATATTCCACTTCCCTCTCCCATTGTTAGGATCTTTTTTTTGGTAATTCTTATTGTAATTGTTGTTATTCACCGTATGTTTTATAAGTCTTGTTGAGTAAACTAAAAAAATAATGGCTATGTGTGTTTTTATATGAAATTTGTGTTTTTTATTTCGATATCTGATTTTTGATTTTTTGGATACTTTTTGATCGTTTTTGAGGTTTTTTGAAAATTCGTTTGTTTATTGGTTGGAAATGATTTTTGGGGGGTTTTCATTATTTTTTGAAGTTTTTGGATACTTTTTGATACTTTTTGGATAACTTTTGCGGATTTTTGATTTTTTTAAGTGATTTTTTCTGCTTCGATACGATTTGGAATCCCATTAGGAAGGCGAAAAGTCATCAACGATTTGGTTTCGCACTCCCCGAACAGCTCATTAGCATATTCCGCAGGAGAAATGCAAATTTTACGAGCGGCGAATTATCGTGTTCGTCAATCTTAATGAGCCCCACCCTGCTCCGTTCTCGCCCCCGAGAGTTTGAAATCTTATTTTCGAACCGAAATGAAATGGAATATTGAGAATTTTGAGGGGATTTTATGTATTTTGTGGGTTGATGTCATGGATAATATAAGTTGATGGGAGAAGTTGGATTTTTATGGGGTTTGGAATAGTTGAAGGTGTTTTTGTGGAGTTTTGAGGGGTTTTTATCGATTTAAATTTTTTTTTAATCTGTTAAAATACGTGATGTAAAGTAATTGTAAAAAATCCGTCATCTTGATGGAATCAATGACAAAATAGGATTTTTGAGATTTTTATATAGTACTTTTGTGACTTTCTAAGCACATATTCATAATTTATTTTGCCAAAATGTTGAAAATTAAAAGCGTCATCATGACGGATTTTCTGGAATTCCTCAAAAAGTCTCGTTTTTATGACCCTCCAACTCTTTTCGGTCTAAAAGTAAAACTAATGAATAGAATCTCCCCACCTTTTGATGTTCCTCATGACTTTTCGCCCTTCGTTTATTTGCGGTCACAAAGAAATTATCAATTCCCATAAAAAACTTGTTCCAAAGCTCTTTTTTTATTTGAAATGATAAGGCTGAAATCGTTCCGTGAACTCCGTAAGGTTTATGATACGCTTTGTTATCGAGCGCTTTTCGCTTTGAATTGAAATTTTGACGATTTTCGGGGAAAAGTTTGGGTTATTTTCGAGGATTCTAGAAAATCCGTCATGATGACGCGTTTAATTTTTGATTAAAATCGCATTTTATGCGATAAAATTTGGTTTTTAGGCAATTGCAAGGATTTTTGCGAAAAATAATATATGTGTCATCATGACGGATTTTTTTGGAATTTTCACAATTTTCCTTTTCTTGGAACAAAGATTGCATTTTTGTCGATGCAGAAGAAATTCTGATCGGTTCCAGGGCAAAGTTTATGCTGCCGTCAGCATAAATTTAATCAAGAAATACCAAATTTCCGGCCCGGAATAGATAAACCCACATAATGAAATATAAATTTAATTTGGAAATTCCGCAGACAGCTCAAAGACCGCTCTCATGATCAGCATTGAGGGTTGACGTGGGCTGGTTAAGGCGATCAAAATTATCAAAGAAACTTGGAACAAGGGAGAGCCCAACACCCCTTCGGCGCTCTGATAACATTGTCATATGAGGGGAGGAAATTAGACAAGTTTGGAGAACGCCTTTTTTTTGGTCTTAAAATAGAAAAAATGAGTCAGGATTTTGCCAGTTTGAAAGGTTTGGTCAGAGGGAAAATTTTACAAGTTTAGTCGAGATATTCAACGATCCTTGAAGACGAGAGACTATGGAAAATGAGGAGATACGGTGAGAGAACAAAGATTTGGCTCCTTATTTTCCATCTTCTCTCGTCTCCAGAAGATCGTTGGGCATCTCAGCTGGTTCCGAGAAGATTTAACACCTCCATTTGCAAGAACAGTCAACGTATTCAACGATTTATGCAGACGAGAAGCCATGAAAAAATGAGGAGATTCGGCGAGAGAAAAGATGTTTTTGACATTTTCCATGAATTTATCAGTCTATGGGGAAAATAATGTGTAAAATGGTAACATTATTTTTCCGACAGAAATGATAAATTCACGGAAAATGTCAGAAAAATCGTAATCAAAAAAATTTTTTTCTCTCACCGAATCTCCTCATTTTCCATGGCTTCTCGTCTGCATAAATCGTTGAATATTTCGACTGTTCTAGCAAGTGGAGGTGTTAAATCTTCTCGGAACCAGCTGAGATGCCCAACGATCTTCTGGAGACGAGAGAAGATGGAAAATAAGGAGCAAAATCGTTTTTCTCTGACCGTATCTCCCCATTTTCCATAGTCTCTCGTCTGCAAAGATTGTTGAATATCCCGGCTGAACTTGTAAAATTTTCCCTCTGACCGAACCTTTCAAACTAACAAATTTCATTTACCACCGAGAATTTTTTGAGGGTATCACCTTTGTTTTTCAAATTACCCTATAAAAGTTTTTTTATCAGCAGTTCCCAAAATTTTAATTACCTAAAAATAATGTTTTCGTAACATCTGCAGCTTTCCGGAGACTGTAATTTTTCACTTTCCTCATTGGCAAATCATTTTCCGTAATTTTTTCGCGGTAATTACCGCTAATCTCGACCTCTTTTTGCCCTTCCTCTTCTCCTCGCAAAAGGAACGTAAGAACTCTTGTTTCTAGTTGAAATTTTTTTGTTGTTTCTTTTGTACTGCTGGGAAAAAGAGTGTTTAAAATTGTATGTTTGGTTGTAATATTTTTTTCGATTTGAAAAAGATTAGATTTTTTGACAAATTTACAAAAAATCCGTCATGATGACATGTTTAGAACAACCTCAGATTTCGATAAAACTTTGCACAGCTGTAGAAGGGGATTTTCTGTTAGCTATTAGAGATTTTTACATTGCTTTTTGCAGAAATGGTCGAGATTTTTAGGTCGAAAATTCGAAAAATTCAAAAAAAATTTTTTTGTCAGTTTTAAGATTATACTTTTGTTTTATGTGGGATGGATAATGATCCTCAAAGAGTCAATTTTTTCCGAGCGAAATCCAGAAAGTTATAGAGAAAAAATATATTTTTTCTCTGACTGACTCTCCTCATTATTTGTGCTGTCTCGCAAAAAGTTTGTTGAATATCTCGGCTGTACGAAACAAAGCGCGAATTAATATTTTTTGAGCTTGATTCGCAATATATTTGGAATATGTGTGCCAAATTCGAACAGAATTTGAGTAAAAAAATCCGTCAAGATGAAATTTTTTTGGGATTTTTTGGAGTAAAAATATGACATTTTGTTTTTATAGGCCGGAAAGATCGTAAAAAAATTAAGACAGTTATTTTTTTGGCCACCGAAAATATTTACTTTGTCGTGTTTTTTCTTTCCTTTTCCCCTAATTTTTTGTTTTTTATTTTTATTTTATGCAAATTACCCTTCTCCGTTTTATTTTCGAATGAACGTTCAGTCGATTTTTCTCCCCATTTCCCCCCCATAAAATCGCCATTCGCACCCTTCTCCTCCTCCAATTTTACGATCATTACTCAACAGGCCGCCGTCCCACCTGTCCGGAATTTGAATAAAACGGTTTTTCTTGCGATTTTTTGCCCCGTTTTCGGAGGGTTTTTGCGGTTTCAGCGGATTTTTGGGGGTTTTTGAAGAATAAAATTGGATTTTTTTTTGGTAATTTTCGATTTCATTTGATGTGGAAGGTAGTAAAAGTTGTTCTCTGAGGTCTGTGAAGGGTAGAGGATTAATATAAAAAATTAGGAAAGGCGTATTTTACAAAGTTTTTAACAAAAATAACGATTTTTGTGGATTTTTTTGATTTTTCCCCAAAATTTTGATGATTATTGGTTATTTTTTGGATATAAAAAGTCTTATTAGCATTTTTATGGCTTTTTGAATTTATTTTCCTTTTCGTTGGCCGTCAAAAAATGGTTTATTTTGGCCAAAAATAAAATTTTTTCACCATTAGTTGCTGTTTTTCGATATTTTTGACATTTTTTCAAATTTAAGTGCTTGTTTTTTCTCTCCTTTCTATTCACTGGCTCTTTTTGTTGTAGCAAACCCCTATTCAGACAAAAAGACAACGTTTTTTTCAAACCATCCAGACAAAAAGTTCTTCCAAACCATTCAGCCATGGCTATATCAACTCGCACTGCCCATTTTCGCTCGTTTTTAGCTTGTTTTCGAACAGATTTTCGGCTCCTAAATCAGCTGGAAAATCGTGTGACTTATGTTAATTCTTTGTTATGTCGAGCTGAAAACGTGTTTCAGACAATAAAAATGGGGGTTTTTGAGGAATTTTTGAGCTGAGCTGGCTATCTGAGAGTCGGAAATTTGCGAAAAGTCTATTTAAAGAGCTGTTAATTCGTTAATTAGTTGTTTTTGCGAGCTAATTTGGTCGGCGTAATCGAGGTTTAGCGAAAAAATGACCTTTTTTTGAAAATTTCCAGAAAATGTGTCATCAAATGTCTGAAACTTGTAAAATACGTCTAGTGGACCACTCAATTTTTATGAACAACCCTGGATCAATCAA